CTGTGAGAGTTTTCCTAATTGGGCCTAAATGAACTGGGCCAAGAAAATCGAGATTGGGCTAACAAAATGTTGGACCCTAAACAATAAAATATTGTGCAGTATAATTATTAAATTTGGATTTAAAAATGATAAGAAATTCGATACGTTAAAATATTCGGGATTGGATTTGAGTTGAATGGATTGAAATTGGTTTTATAACGGCTAGACGAACACGCTTTCATTTTAACGCTTGGGATTAAAACTTAGCGACACGTTTTTCAAGATAATAATTTAAAATTCTCGGTCGCTATAGAAGGGCTCATTACAGAGGTTGTTTCTTGATGGGAATTTCTTGAACGGATCTTCGCCGGCGGAATTTTTCTCTGGCAACACATGTCTTCCAAACAAAGCCCAAGCCCAATAGTAGATTTAAATCATAAGTAATTCTATATTACCATTTTGACTTGATACTAATATAGAAACTTTTTCAAAATACAAATTTGATCTTACTGTAAGGAAAGCAAATCTGTCATCATTAATTTATTTTACTTTCGCATTTTTGTTAATTATGAAATATACCACTTTGACAAAGGGAATCAGAAAACAAGAACAATTTCCTTTCAACCACAAAATTGCCCATATTATATTACTTCACAGTGCACAAAATATGAAGAGATAAAAATTATTATGTTAGTAAGAAATATTTAATTTAATTTATGAATTTTACATTTGCATTCTTATATTTAATTCATCAACGAACAACTCAAACTTGTGTACCTATTCCTTTTGCATCTCAAAATGTGAGAATGTTAAATATTATATTAGTCTAATCTCTCGAGTTGTAAGATGGGTTTTATTTTGCCACTCTCTCTTGAATTGCATGAAATGTTCGTTTTAATATAGAGATGTTATTTGTTCAAATATTATGTTTGAGGGCCTCAAAAAAATAATTGCCTAGAGCCTCCAAGTTGTCGGGGTCGGCCCTGCCACCCATCTTCAGGACCGATATCCACAGGGCCAAATTTTTCGAGTTGGATGACTCAAATGAACTGTCTCCTGTTGAAAGTTCTGATACAAGTTGTTACCACCATATTGGGTAAAACTTATGATTAAAACCGGCTTACAAGGGGAGGGTGCCCAATTGGTTATAAACCCACAAATCAAGCCTTTCACAATAGATGTGAGATAAAATTAGATCGTTACAGTCGAACCCTCGATTTTTGTTACAAATATAAGGTTCATCTATAAGGGACCCTTCGTGTTCGTTCTGTTTTCCCATAGCAGCCATTTGTCGCGCATACCCTCGAGCTTCTGCATGTTCAGATTAAAAACATACAGATTGTCCTAGGTTTATCTAGAGTAAAATTGATGACTCTCTGTGTAAGACTTCAATATCTAACATATACACTAAAAAATCCTCAAAGGAATACTTCAAAAACAAGGAAAGAGAAATTACAAAGAAAAAATTAACTAGGTAAGCAACTGAAGTTTGTCTTTACTTAATACATTAAACACATTTGTACTATATTTCTGTGGAGATCAACATTAAGAAAAGAATCTTATCATTTATATTCAAGGATGTGCAGGAGGTGTCGATTCAGTGGATGGTTCCTTTCTGTGAAAACTTCTTCCAATCATCAGTAGATCTCCGACTCGCCAAAACATTGTTTTCCTTCTTCTATGAGAATTTCTATCTCGATCTGAACCATCGTGTGTACTATCTAAATTATTAAAATCTTCCGACTTTGGTGTTCCTGTATTTTCTGTGAAGGCAGAAGAATACCCTCTCCTATGAGTAGAAACCGATGGTTTTGGAGTATGAAGCTCTGATCTTGGTGTTTCTGCAGAAGAATCAAATATTGAGCCTTTTAAGGCCTCTGCCTTATCGGGATATTCATCTAAAAGTTTCTCATCCGAATTTTCATGCTCGTTCATGAACTTCGGATCTTCAAGGTTGAAGCTGAAATGTTTCTTTAAATTATTGTCCTCTTGTTCCTCGTCCACGAACGTCCCATTCTTCTCCTTGTCCTCAGTCTTCAAATTTATTCCGAGTTTGTGTTCCCGGGTAAGAAAATTCAAGGCTTCATCCCTTTTCGAAAGACAATCTTTGAGTTGGGAATTTTCATCTCTAGCAATGTCTGCAGCTGCTTTTGCAGCATTGGCTTCATTAATAGCCTGCTTAAGTATATCCCTCAATTTGTTAGTTTCGTTCCGTGCTGCTTGTGTCATATCCTCAGCTGCCTTGAGGGACTCGGCAAGTCTAGCACTCTCACGTTGTGCAACAGCTGCTTCCTCTTCAGCTCTTTTTATACAACTGACAAACCCCATTTCCTTCCCGTTCGAAGCCAAAATCGAGTCCTCGGCTTCTAATCTCAGTCTATCTGCAGTATTCTTGTACAATTCTGCTTCTTGTTTAGCTTCGTCTAAAAGCTTTTGATGCCTTTCATCAGTACTTTGCACCATTTCGTTCATTTTTTCTGCTGCTTCTTTGACTTGCTCGAGTTCCATTTGGGCATTACCTAGTTTCTCCTTCGTTTGATTGGCTTCAGTGGTAACTTCTTTCAATGCCAAAGCTAAATCTTCCATGGCCTTCCTACTCTTTTCTTCTGCATCAATTGCCAACTTCAATTCGTTTTTAAGCAATTCCATCTCTTCGAGTAGAGTTTTAACCTTCAATGAAGCTTTCTTCTCATCTTCCTCAGCACGAGCTAGATTCTCCTTTGTCAATCGGAGCTCATCCTTAAGCCCTTCATTCTCTTCATCGCTAAAATCACCATTATTAAGATCTCTGCTATTTTGCTTAGACGAATCTTGCAACAAATCGATTTTCTCACGAAGAGAATTGGTTTCAAGCTTCAATTCTTCGAGAACAATCTTCATCTGCTCAAGCTGTTTAGTCTTGATTTCCATCAAATCGCTCATTCTGGATTCCGATTGCTTGCCTCTCTGTACTTCATACTCTAATTCCCGAATCTTCTTCTCACTCTCAGACAACAATTCAGTCGCCTGCGTATTTGACTCTCTCAGACTACTAAACTCCTCCTTCAACTTATCTAAAGCGAGCTCAAATTGCTTCGTTTTTCCGAGTTCCAACTCCAAAGACTTGATCTTATCATCTTTAACCTTCAATTCTTCATGTGAATTAGTTAGAATTTCTTTCAAACTCTTCAATTCCATCTTTAATTCCTCGACCTTCCTAGCTTCACTCAACCCATTACTTGCCTCTAGAGCTGCTTCTTTTGCCTGTCTAAGTTCATCAAGGGCTTGCTCTCTTTCTACCTCAGCAACCCCCAATTGTTCCTTAGTCCTATGGAGCTCTGCCTCCAAATCCCCCTTCCGTTTCTCCATTGACATAGCCCGATTACTCAGATTCTACATCAAAATGAGACCCCACAAACTCCATCGTCAAAATCAAACAAAAGCTAAAAATAAACAAAATAACATAAAAAGGAAAAACCATAAATCAAAAGGGATTATATACCTTGGAAGACTTTTTGTCAGCAATTTTAAGGGCGTTCGAATCAATTTGTGAGACCAAATCACCTCCCCTACAAAACTTTGATGCAGAAAGGGTCCTAGAAAACACTGATGAATGATGATTCTTCTGAACAAAATCAATCGACCCAGATCTACAAAACCCATAAAATCACGAAAATTCAAATCCAAAACTCAAAAAATGAAGATAAATTTACATGCAAAACTGAAAAAAGGAGGAAATGACCGTTAAAACACGGAATCAATTAATGGAGTCCGATAAAATCTCTGCAACACAGAATATACCATGAAATTTTGATGGACCAAAAAATAGTCAGCGTACTCAGTACCTTGATTTGGAACGCGACATTGTATGGTGAATCTTTAACTACGGCTATGATTCCTTCGGATAATCAGAAAATAAGTTTGCAAAAATAAGCAGAAAAGAAAAAAGGTATTAGCAAATTTTTGTATGTTTTGGTTGAAGTGTAGGTTCATGACAAAGTCCGAAGTTGGCGGGTATTTGTTAGGAAAGTTCCGTAACGGCAAAAGTAAACTGAGAGAGATTTAGAGAGAGGAATAAAAGAATTTTGAAAAAGAAAATTCACAATTGTTCCCCAACTTATTATCTTAGTAACGAGTTAGTCCAAAACTTTTTATGAACAAATTTGTCTTCGAAGTCATTATAACTCACTTCATATTTCTAAGCACCAATTAGTTATGAGAATAGACCAGTGCACGGCCGCCCTTCTCGTCCTCTGCCCAATCAAGAATTTTCAAGATAGGGTGTGACGGGAACTAAAAGTCTAAAATATCCTCATTTCGAGTCTCATTTCTCCATTTACTTATTGTTTTATTTTTTAAATAAAATTTAAATTTAAAAATATAAAATAAATAAATTAAGAGTTAGTCAATTCAGGACAGGTCCACTTTCTGCATCCCAACTCCATTGAGATTATTAGAACACAAGATTCTCATATAATGTCCAAACATACAATGATCACATGATAATTTAACAAATATTCAAGTGTTTTCGTATAAATGCAATTTTGAAAGTTGTTTATAATTGATATAAATGAGTGATGAATGAGTATACAGTATTTGTGAATCTCAGGAAATATATAGATATAATTTAATTTGACTAATTATAAAAAATTAGAGATTGAGAGAATAGATTAGGGACCAAATATGAAAATTTTGCCAAGAAATTTCTACAAATCTTTTGGGGTTTGACAGTGTCTAGGGGCCGGCAAACATGACCTAGGAAATTGCTTAGATAAGTAAACGTTACTCTCTCCAACGTGAGCATTTCGGACAATTTGTATTTATAGTTTTAATTTATCAACCTAACAAATAATGTCTCCCTCTACTTTTCTTAGTTAAGTTCGAAAGAAACGGTCATTACTAATAGAAATTTACCTAATAATAAGTCAACAATAATTGTTTATATGGTGCTTGCTTCTCGACCTATTTGAAAAGTTCATTTAATTTCGGTATGTCATTCACTAGTAAATAAAATCATTTAATTGATGAGCTAAATTTATGGGATTCCCATGTTTGACAGCCATTAAAATATTTTTTTTTTCAAATTTATTTTCAATCACATATTTAACGATATATTATTTCTACGTAAATCAAATTTTTTTCTCTACTTTTTAACTACAGAATCTCCAAAATATCGTTACCTCGAAATTCATTTTCCTAAAAAAACACTAATTTTAATGATTGTCAAACAGGGATATATATTATTCTTTCACGACTTAATAATTAAAAAGTATACATGTATAATTATGGAGCTTACTCGAGCATTAAGAGTACTTTGGCCCCTATTTTGTGTCCATTGTTTTAAAATTCTTTTTGATATACGATTATTTTTAAATATGCATTCACATAATAAAATATTCTGCATATAAATTAAAGGGAAGATTACATATTTAAGAGAATAAGTTTAGCCTATTTCAAAAATAAGAAAACAAGTTTGAAATTACTAAAATCAGATTTTTATTATAATTTTTTAAATTTTTATTTATGAAATAATAAATTATTAAATTAATTTATTATTAAATATTTAATTCTAATATAATATAATTAATCCATCCCACATTCACCACCTCTACCGCTCCGGCTATCATTCCGATCACCATCCCACTCCGGCGAACTTTCCGACGACCGTCCGGAGACTACTCCGATTCCGGTGACTGTTCCGGCAACTATTTCGACGACCATTCCGGTGTCGATTTTTTCCGGCGACTGCTCCGATTCCGACAATTGTTCCAACTCTGGCGAATATTTCATCGACAACTCAGCTATATTTTTTTTTGTACAGTTGGCATTTTTTTTACAGTCACAACCCAGGTCACAAGTCACAAATCACAAGTCAAAGTCCATGTCACAAGTCACAACTCAGGTCACANGTCACAAATCAAGTCACAAGCCAGGTCCCAGGTCACAACTAAACACCACAGCCCCACCACCGATCCCTATCCACCTCCGATCTTAGTCACAAATCACCACTAAATACCCCCGATCTCTATCCACCACCATTGGTCACAAATTGATCAAATAAATGCGTAAGTTCCAACCCCAATCCTCCGTTGTACCAACCGAAAGTAGCTCCACCTCACCACTACCATCACTGGTGCCACCTCCAACAAACTACCATTTTCAATTTCAAAACCACTGCCACCAACAAGATCCAACATTTCCAATTCAAATACCAGATCGCAGGCACACCAATCACTGCCCAAAAATCAGAAATATCGTTGCCCAAAAACCAACAAACCATCGCGCCTTTGCCACCAACAAGATCCAACAAAATCGCCGCCCAAAAAGCACCAACAAATCAGATTGACAAACGCTGTCACCTCGCCATCACCAGAACCAGAATGCCACTGGTTATGTGCGATCGTGCTCAGATCAGATCGCGCCTTTATCGGTGAACTCATTGGTGATCTTCCCACTGGGTCCACCAATCGTAGCTTTAAATGGCACCGATGGAGTTTTTTGTGACCTATTCCGGTGGTGTACTGAGCAACGCGGTGGAGGAAGTGGCCGGCGGGGAAGGCGCCAGGCCTGGGTTTGGAATTAAGGGGTTGTGCGCCGAGCGTGGTGCGGCGCTGGTGGGTTTAAGGGGGTGGGTGCGCTGAGCGCCGGTGAGATCAAGGAAAGAGAGGGAGATGGAGAGAAGATGAGTGATTAGAGTTTGGAATTTGGAATGATTTTTATATTTTAGGGGTTTGACGGTGATAGATGTGTGTAAAAATATTAATTAAAATAAAAAATATCTGATTATGGAAATGTGAAACTTTCAACCTGATTTTGGAAATGTGAATACCTAAACTCTGGTTTTTTGTAATTTCCTCTAAATTAAATCTATTTATCCGTTCAAGAAAATTCTCTAATTTCAAGGTAATGATCAATGAATCTTTTGAAAATTGCAACTGTAGTCTCCAGAAGCCTAATTCACCAACCTTTTTTTTTTTTTTCTCTTTTGCATTTGGGCCATCATACTTCAATTTTTGCGACAACAGGTTTCTTTGGGATAATTTTTATACACTAATTTTAGGAAAAATTGCAACAGCGGTCCCTAACTTTTTTAATTTTTATATATTTTACTCTAACATTCAATTTGTGCCATCGAAGATCATTAACATTTCGTAAATATGCACCTAGAGTCTAATGGATAGAAATCATCTATTTGATCGTTAGTTAACACAAAAGAGTGAATTTTGATCAATTTTAACCCTATTAAAAGGAATAAAATGGTAACTTTACAATTACCACATTAAATAAATTTAAAAAAAAAAGGTTTCTCTCCTTCAAGCCTCCACCCCTATATAATGTAAATGGTAAATGGTCGATTTTTCTAAAATCATCCAATATAGCGGATAATTACCAATAACCAACTACATCAAAATAAAAATCAATGTTACAATCTAAATTTGGAATTTACAATAAATGATTATTCCCCTTGCTTTTCTTTTCTTTTATTTTGAAATTTGAAGTTTTTGTCAAAAAAAAGGTATAGTCAGTAAACAAATTATTTGAGAAAGGATTATATTTTATGTTTTTATTATTATATTTTAAGTTTACAAATATGAATTTTAAAATTTAAAAAAAAAAAAGAACATTTTAAAAATGTTTTAGCGGGTTTGATCAGTTAATTGAGATTTTGTTGCTTAAATCACAACCAATTCAACCTGCCTTGTTAATAGTTAAAATTAATCGAACCAAACGGATATTTTTAAGACACTGTTAACAAAGCCTAAAAACTATATAAAAAAAAAGGAATGAAGAAACAAGTCTTAAAAAAACTGAAAAACACCTCCCTCTACCAAACCTAATCCACCATTCAAAGAGGACAAAAGAATTGGACACCGCTAGAGAGTGGTTGGACGATTGGTTAGAAAGGATCCAAGGTGATGAGGGGAACGTGGTGAGAATTAGGTGTTGAATGCAAGTGGCAAAAGTGGTGGCAATGAGCTAAGAGGAGGGGTTGGGATTCAGACTGGTAAAGGGTGTTAAAATTAAAAGCCTAAAACTAAATCAGCACCATACATATTGACAAGTTCATAAACAAACCTACAAAATATTAAACTTAAAATAAAAAATAGCACAAAAGCAAAAATAATATCAATTTGATGAATATTAACTACTAGAGCCCCAAGATACCCAAAAGATTGGTTATTAGAGAAAAAAGCCAAAACCTTCTTATGTAACATTTAACCTACGGATCTTATATATATGAAATGTATGAATCATCCATCTAAAAAGATGATTCAAATAGGAGTCAATCCAATATGCATTCACTACATGTTTATATAGGCACAAGGGGAACGGTAACAAAGAGTAGGATCAAACATGCAATTCCAATAACAGTAACAGGAATTTAGAGACCCAAAACCATTCCAGTTGGGAAAAATCCATGAATAATCACCCAGCTATTGTACTAGTTTTTCCCTAGGTGATGAGATAAATCTAAAGTGAGGTTATCTGCCCCTTTAGTTCATCCTGCCAATCTTGATAGCCTATGCATCCCATTAAACTGCCAAGTGACAAGCATGTGTTCCAGCAGAACACCCAGGCACCTTTACATACGTTCATGCCCAAAGTAGGTTCACAGTTGATATAAGCTAACTTAAATTATAGCTTCTATGGACCAAAATATAGACACTGAACCATAAATATACCAATTACAATCACATTCAGATAATTAGGCGCACTCTCAACCAATCTGAATGCTAATAGAGAAAATACAATGCAGCAAACACACATGAGAAGACACACGTTCAATGGATCTGAAGATGCAAATCAAAGAAGGAAAAACAAAAAAAAAGGGTTAAAATCTTGCCACTACATTGCAGTTTGGTA